TGATATTCAGGTATAAAATTTCGGCGGAAATGTTTGGTTTTATGACACGTCAGCTCATGGGTTTCGCTGGTGGTCGAGTGGTTCTGGCATTGGAGGGCGGCTATGATCTTGCCAGCATTTCCGACGCTGCTGAACAATGCGTAAAGGTACGCTCAATTGCCGCATACGATCTTGATCCTAAAGCTTGGCGGTCTGTGATTTCAAACATAAGCATCCTGCCTGCAAGAGAATGTAGAGCACTGCTTTTCTTTGAAGGAAATGACGCGGCTAAACGATAACTGCTGCAAATCTGTGGCATAGCGGCATGTTCGATGCTTGCGAAGGTATCTAGGCCTGCCTTCAGTCCAGTCTCTAATTTCCAAAGTCATTTGTCTTTCCACGAAGTAGTGCAGCAAAGAACCCGCCATCTTGAAATCTCGCTTATCTATTCTCAAATATACATGGCACGTCGTATTGGATCCTCAGAATAACTTTACGGTGTTTTCATTGGTTTTGTAGAAAGATGAAAACTTTGAAAAAGAGCCACAATTCCTTAGGCTATGGCAATGCGCTGTCATATATTATTCGAGGCTACTGGATAGTAGAGCCTCCGAAAGATGGGTAGTAAACGTGGGACACAGGTTCTTAAAACACCGAGAGGCGTTGGCTGGCTCGTGCCCGGCGCCTAAACTTCACATCTTAGCTTGTATATCTTCTATCAGTCCCAAAATATTGTGCGAATGGTATGACAGTTTCGCGACATAAGTGAAGATTTCATGTGCAATCCGTATTATGTGGCAAGCACCCGCTGGGCAAGCGACGCAACGACCATGTTTGGAGTGCGCCGCGAAGTGCCCTGTAAGCTCCCAAAAGGCTTGCGGATGGCCTGAAAACACTTTGATCATAAGTCCCGGCGAGCACCCGGTGCCTAATACGCGCCCAGTAGCGATGAACGCCTGTTTCCATTCTCCTCAGCGTCAAGGTCACATAAACCATTCGTATAAACCCTTGCTGTTTTTGTCGGGACATCTAGCACTCGGGTCCGGAAAGTTTCACACTCGAGCCATTTTCTCGCACCCAAGTGGTACACCTGCTAGGCACATTCGAACTCGCTATGATTACGAGCTCCCCAAGACACTGCAAGCCCTAGAGTGGAGGGAGAGAGGGCAGGAGGCGAGGAAATACTCAGCTTATCGCGCTTTTCGATGAAACCTTTGAGCAGGACCGCGTCCACGCATGTCTCGCTGGATAGGGTCGGTAGGAACGGGCTGGTGTATCAACGACGCTATCCACATAACGGGCGATCTATAGAATACCTAGAATGGAGAACTGCTCACCTTTTTCGAAGCGACGGGCGATCATTAACGGCAGTGGCTTGGCAAATCCTCAAAGCAACCGTTTCTCGCTTACTTGGGGTAATCCGCTCCGCTGATTTCGAAAAGTCACCTTGGAAAGCACGAAAGTGGCTAGAACGATTTTCCTAACAAGGGAAGGATACTAACTTAGATTCGCCTTTCAT